CATAGTAACAATATTTTTATACTACATTTATCCATTTTAAATACACTAACCTCACTCATTTGTAACAAATAAGGCAAAATTAACTGAGAAAATCTTTTCAGGACCCCACCTTGATGTTTCAGGACCCCACTTTGGGTCCCGACCCTGACTTTGAGAAACACTGCCTTAAACCATCAGCACTGCAAAAACACAAATCATAAATAGACTACAAGATATAACAATAACTGTTATTATTATTTTTCCTATTGCTTTTATTCGTAAACAAGCTCAAATTTGGTCAAATTTCTGCAACCAAAACATCAAATACATCAAGCTTTGATTTGTAGTTTTAGTTAATGAACACTCAGATGTTTGTCAAAAGATTAAACTGAGTTTAGAAGCAAAGGAAAAGTTAATCAGAATGTAATCCCTTTATTTTATCTGCTGTTTCTTCATCATTTGACCATAACGTCAGATTATTCAACTAAAAACCAAAGCAGGCGTAAAGACGCAGCGTTGAGCTGCTATCAACAGGATTTGTGTTGATTCCACTGCAGCTAACAGGATTATTGGTCTTTTTCTCTCATCTAATTAAAACAGGAAACAATTTGCACGCGCTTAATTGTAGGCGTGGCCTGCACAGCGATTAAAGCGCAGTGAATGCTGTGACGTCACGATAAACTAATTCAGAGGTGATCCTGGCTGCTGAGCAGCTTCGGGAAGGTTGGGATGGGGGTGGAGGGGGGTCTCCATGTGGAGGAGTGGTGTGTGTGTGTGTGAGGGGGGTTGCACTCCTCCTCCTCCTCCTCCTCCCCCCTCCTCCCTCGGACCATTGTTGTTGTGGCTGCAGTCCGGAGCGGCGCGGGGCTGGAGGAGGTCTGATCGCGCTCAGGACGCAGTCGCTCGTCTTTTTTTTTTTTTCTTTCTGTGCTGCTGAAGGAAGCTGGACTTGAAGAGGCAGAGCTCCAGGATCCAGCAGCAGACTCAGATCTGAGCCTCACCCAGGCGGAGCAGAGGGGTCCAGCAGCGCGCTGCGTAAAGACGCAGGGACTCGGATTCACCGGGCACGTTTTCAAACCAGCCTTTTTTTTTTTAAAACGTCTGATTCATCTGTAACTTAAAGTGAAATCATTTGTAAACAACATTTTGTTTTAAATCTGAGGCTCGTTTAATTCTCCTTTTGTGGATTTCTTTGCCCTCGGCCCCCCCGGGGATCGCAGCTCCCAGCAGCTGTCGCTCATGTTCCGGGAGGCAGCTTCTCACGGATCTCTAACCGTTTCACGGAGCTGCACGCGTCCGCACAGACTCTGTGATGAATCCTCCAATATTTGTTCAGWGTGACCGGGACCAGGACTGATTTTATTTTATTTTATTTTTAACTCCTGCGAGGAGAGAAGGTGGGTGAAAACAGAAAACACGGGACAAACTGGAGACTTTCATTCATTTCCTGTCCTGCAGGCTTCAGTCGCACAAACTCAGATTTTACGCACATTTTTAATATAAATCCACTCTTTTCACTGTGTGCGCTAAAACCAGTGGAATAAACTGATTTAAACTTGATTTTAGCGCTTTAAATCAGCGAGTTTTGCAATCCAGAAGTAACCAGGTCAGCAGATCCTGCAGCGGAGTTTGAACTTTGTCTCAGAAAATAAAACATCATAAAAAAAGGTGGAAAATTAAACATTTATTCACCATTTAAGCCGATATGAGGAGTTATTTCCACTTTTCTGATWGAAGTTATTGATCAGGCTGCCACGCGCTGGCACATGATGTGATGCGAACAGAACCGAACCGGTGTGTTGTTTTGGCAGCTCCATCAGAACCAGCGGGACGCGCTTTGTGTCGCTGGGGGGGAGTTAGGTGGCAGAGAGGCGCAGCGACGCCCCTCTCTTCAGACAGCCAGGATGAGCTGGAAGTGTTTCTGGCTCCGGAGGGGACAGGAGGGGGAGAGAAGTTTTCCAGCCACTAAYTGAAGAAGAATAAGTTTCATTCACGAGCCTTGTGCGCGCGCCGGGCTCTGGCGCAGCGTGCCACACACAAACTCCTCTTTTTATTTTTATTATCCCACTGCTTCAGAGCTTTAKTCTTGTTCAAACTTAAATCTGACATCAGACCTGAACATTAATGTTTAGTTTTGGAGCTAAAGATCTTAAATTCTAACAGCTGAAGCTGGAAAGTTTCAAGTTTAAAAATATAATTTAAGTCATTTCCTTCAAAGTGACAGATAATCTGTGTTGATAAAATACGAGTTTTAACAATTTCAAACAGTTCAAGCTGTTTGTTTGAGTGTCCATAATTTTATTATTTACCSGTTTGTCTGTTAGCATAATATCTCACAAATCACTGCACTGTGTTCAATGAAACTTTCAGGAAAAGCTCACTGGATGAACGTCTACAGCTGATTAACTTTTGGAATCAACACGATTCAAGTTGGTCCCAAAAAGCGGTCAAACTTGTAAAACACAAAAGTGGCTGCCGCTCGGTTAATTTAGTAGGTTTTGAGCTAAAAGCTGGCGTGGTAGTAGCTGATGCTGAGCCCCAACCCATTCTCTGAGGGCGAGACTTGTGCTCAAAACTTTAGCTTTAACCATTACTGTCAGTTGTGTCTGTCTGTTAGCAAAATATCTCATTAACCACTCGATTGATTTTATTGAAACTTTCAGGAAATAATAATTGGATATACCTCTATAACTGATTRACTTTTGGAGACTACAYCTTTCAAAATRGCCACTGCAGCCACCTGATTTTAATAAACACAAAACTGGCTGTAAATCAGTCAGTTGGACAATTTTGGTGGTAAAATTTGGTGTTGATGTAGCTGAGAGAACTTCACATCATATACCCTGAGTTTTACACGTTATGTAAGATGTTTGTTTATAATTTTAGCAATAACTCTTTGGATTCAATCCCCGTTTGGCTGTTAGCAATATGKCTTGTGAACCAGTTGAATGATTTTAATGAAACTTTCAGAAATGAATCATACATAAGATGCTTACATCTGATTAAATTTTAGAGTCRATCCAATTCAAGTTGGCAGCTCCAGCCAACATAAAAGATGGCCTGTCAATTAAACAGAAAAGCAGCGGGCGATATGCATTACTCCAAGCGAAGCTAAATGTGTTTAAATGTTTTAAACATTTCAYTAAAATTGATTTGAGCTGAACAGATGAGACTTTTCAGTGCACCCCCTCGCATCATCTGCTTCACTGTTCTGCCACCTGAGTCTGCAGCTTCCTGGCAGGTTTCAAGTGTTTTTCTTAGTGAGGGTCCATTATGGCGGGCCGGGCTGAGCGCTTTGCATTGACAAACAGCAGCCTGTAACAGCCCTGCTCCTTCTTCACCACACAGGAGAGCCTGGACAATGTGGGACAGTTAGAGCGGGACATCTGCTGAAGCTGCTCACAGTCCAAACAGACTCTCTGGAGCTGATTGGCGGCACAATTGTGTTTTTTATTTTATTTTATTTTACCATCTGGTTTTTAAAAGTGTGTTTTCTGATCAAGAATTTTCTGTCCTCGTTTTGTCGCCACCCCCAGCATCCAGATTTCCAGACTTTGTGAGTTCCCTGAGGTTGCCAATGCCAGGGGCCGGAGTGTGAGGCCCCCTCCAGGCTTCCAGCTTCTACAACCTTTCAAACCGTAAAGACACTCATCACATCCAGAAGATGCTGAGGGTCTGCGTGTTCTGCATCCTGCTGCTCAGTGTGGTGGACAGAGTCGCAGTCAGAGCCGACGGGACCAGGACTAAAGGTGGGAGTGCTTTTATTTTGTAAAAGATGCTTGAAGTTGTGAAACATTGCTCTAATCTTTCTGCTGCTCGCTATCTGATCTTGGGAAAACCATGTTTCACGAGCCCAGAGGAATTCAGGGTGACAGCAAAAACTAAGACAGTTTAAAAAAAAGAGAAAGTGTACTCTGAGCGTTGCTGCTGTAAACTGTGCTACCTGATCCACCCGAGGCCCCCGGGCTCGGAAGTGTAAATCTGCCTGGATGTGTGCCAGCTGGAGAGGATGAGGAGGTTTTTCATATAAGATGCCCCGGCAATAAGAAGACCAAAAAAAAAAAAAAAAAAACTCAATCAGCACATTCTGCTGACACAATCAGTGTCGAGTTTTCAAAGACTCAATGAGAGCAGAAAACACAAACAAACCCAGCTCTCATTACTGAACTATTAAAGCTCAAATTCAGGCAGAAAACATTCATGTTTTGGTTCTTAGTTCAAGTTTAAGGTTTCATGCTTTGCTCATGTTCCTAACAGGACTTTYTCCTGCAACTCTCAGCCTGTAGAGAGTATTTCAAACAACCAAAAGAGTTAAAAGGAATGCATAATCACCCGCTGCCTTTAATGCAAGACTTTTAAATTGAGATTGTTTCATGCTGTGGATGGCTCCAACAGTTCAGGTCAAAGTTTTGAGTTGAGTTTCWGCTAAATGCCAAATTTCAGCTCAGCGTTGGTTAAATTAAGTGCTTGAGCTGTTTTTTTTTTTCAAGATGTCAGATGGCAACCATCCAGGGGATTGTGATGTTATCAGTCCATGAAATGGACATTATCAGTCCCATACAATGGCTTCAGAGGGTCCCTACTGTGCCTTCTAGGCTTCAGGCTGTCCCGACAGTGTTCCCTAGTGGGTTAATATATCAACAACAATGAATGTGTAAATAACCAAAAGATATTGAAATAAATTGTTTGTGTCCGTGTCGGTCTCGAGCCCTGATCTGCCACTCTACCCATTGCCCTATTGGAAGATCACAATATATAACCGTTGGAGGGCGGGGTCTTTAGCGCTAACCATGTCATTTGCTCTAAAGTTAACCTTRGTGGCTTTAAGCCTCATATTAACTAGTTTTTTATGCCTCATATTAACCAGCTGACAATCTGATGCCATTCTAGGGGACTGATAACGCCTAATAACGACCATTTCATGGATGATAACATCCGAAGCCGGTGCACCATCTTGTATAGTTAATCAGTTATAGATGTACATGAAATAAGAGTTCATGGGAATGTTACACACAAACACGAATCCAAATCTCAAGAAGCTAAATGTAAATGAAACTGTTTTGCTGCTGACACTTTTTCATTTGAACTTTCTTCAGAATATGGTATTTCTTTCCCCGCAKGTCTTAAATTACAAAGGCCACAAACTACAAAGACGGTTCGTCTATAAAAAACTGCTTTTTAGTTCTCATCCCGGCAAAGCAGGACAATAACTGCAGCTTGAGTTCTTGGCAATATTTTCCATAGAAAGAAAGAAAAGAAAATGTTTGTTGCGCTTTGGTCTCAGGCTGGATTCTTCATGTGGTTTTACAGAAACACATCCRAACCCAAACCTCCACAGTTACACAACTTCATCTGATGTGTGGAGCTCACAGGCTGGTTTTTATATGAAGTTATAAATTAGAAAGTGTTCCGTCTGAAGCGACCTGATGGACAGGGAACACTGTGTCGGGCCGTCTGAAGGGCTGCCAGCCCGGCCGGCCGCTCGCCTCGTCGGCTCTCTGCAGCCGAGCGCTTTCTTTGTGTTTTGTTTTGTGTTGTTTGCCCTCTCGCCTCTGGGTGATAATTCACACTTCGTCGCAAGTTCAACTCGGGGGCATTGCAAGTTCATTAGCACAGTTGGATTGGTTCATCTGTGTTCTGCTGCTTTAAAAACACATGGCTTGTTGTGGTAATCTTATTCTCTTAATTCTTCAGATTCTGTCTAAACAGATCAGATTTGTCTTCATTAAAACAGTCCTTTAATGTCTTTTTTCCTCCGTTTGACCATCTGTAAGTGTGTATTTTTTCCTGAAAGCATTACCTGCATSCACTCTGAGTGATTAAACAAAAAGAAAGGCAGCACTTCACTCCAACAAGGGAACAGATTGCCTTTTCACTTAGTGCTCACAGGAAGCAATCAAACAGAAAATGACCCTGGAAAATTGCTGGACCTGAGTGAGCGAGCAGTGAGCGAACAGTGAGCGAGCAGTGAGCGAGCAGTGAGCGAGCAGTGAGCGAGCAGTGAGCGAGGTCCGGCCCGGCTGGGGAGCACTCATGTTCCAGAATATAGAAATGACCTGGTGGACGGACGGCACCATGCTGCTGGTGACACCATTAGAACTGGGTTAAATCTCGCTGGTTGWTTGGGAACGTGGTGCCCGTTTTTAGATAAACTGAGAACAATCAGGATGTAATGATTGATTACAGTCGCAGAAAATTTTGTTTCAGTTCGATGAAACAAATATCTAACATAGCATACAAAAGACTGAAGAAAACTGTTCAAAGAAATTTACAAAATGTGCTAAAATAGACAGGACAAAGATCATTAATCTTAATTTTATATGTTTTAAACTAAATGTTTGACTGAAGCTGGTGTCACAGATGTGTTCTAAAGCAAACCAACAGCCGCTGAGTTTTATGGTTGGAGCAGAAAAAACTAATCTGAAAAAAAATGTGTTCCTTTGAGAATAGCTGACGAGATTATTAAAAATTTCAAAGTATATAGAACTGTAGCCGACCTCACAGGACATGGACGCAAGAGGAAATGCAACCCCAGGTTGATCGTGCTGATTGTGTAGTTCTTGATACCATCCAAAACTTGACTTTCTTGAATCATGATTTGCTCCATGAAGGAAGAACCAGGAGAGTCCCACTATATTCAGAACAGCTTCTAACAGGAGTTTCTGGGACTAATCACACAGAACTGAGCTGCATTTAAWATGTCCAAACACTGCAGCAACATGTTCAGTTATTGAGATAATGAGATACAAAAAGTGGAAAATAAATATTTGTAGGTAGCAGGGCGGCCATGTTGGATCTTGAGATTTTCCCCCTCAGCCTTTAATTATGATGRTTTTTAAAAAGTATGTACAACAAATTCTTGCCACAGCAAACCTGAGTCGAGGATTAAGCCAGGCGTGAGAATACAAGAACACAGGTAGAAACAAAATATGTCTCAAACAGGTTAACAAAAATCAAAATGTTTTGGTTTTTAAAGTTTTCTCACTGCAAAAACTGTCCACCAAACCAAGTTTTAAAACCTTATATCAGCCAAAAAGTCTTTTTGATCTTGTTTTCAGACTGATTTACTAAACAAGAACTGATTGTGTAAGAATAATCATCTTGTTTTCAGAATGTGTAAGAT